ATGTGTAAATACGTGCTCATGTGTATGCAGACATGTGTATGCATGTGTGTGTGTCTGCATGTGTTTCCACCCACATCTGCAAGTTCTGCCACCGTGGGAAGTGCAGTAGCATTCTGATCTGAGGCCTCCGCGAATCATAAATGACAGGGCGCTGCACAGCAATCTGTCTGGGTGCAGAGAGGATGTCACCTGCCTAGACTCTTTCTCTCTCTTGCAGCAGATTCAGAATGGCTTTCCCTCGGGGTTGTCATTTGTAACTTTCTCTCAAAACAGAGAGACCACCGTTTTGCAAGTGACTTGATTTACATACCACCAAGTGCAATGTTCGCCTCTGCTGAGTGAATGAATAGGGTTGAAGTTGCTGTAGGACACATGACCACAGAAAGGCTTCCCCCTGCTCAGATGTACAGCCCTCCTAGCCATCTTAACAACAGAAAATGAATACCGTTTCATATTCTACAACTCCAGACAGGAGCCAATGGCAACTCATTTCTTCTCAAAGAACTAGCTAGTTAAAAGTGTAAGTAAGGCTGTGTTAGGTTTACACATGCTCCTGTGAGGGCCTGTCTTAGGAAAAACCTTACATGGAAGGCTACATGATTGTTCTATGTAGACCAGGCCCTGACTTAGTCCAGCTGCCCTTGGTCCCAGCAGAGAAGGTCACACTTAGGGGATGGAGAATCCACCAACAGAAGGCAAAATTAAGAAAGAGAAAGGCTGCAGAGAGCTCAGGCGACCTGGCTTTTTGAGGCAGTGTAGAGAAAGAGAGGATATTTTCCTACTGAGTTTGGTAGGTGAGAGTCGTTATTGTTATTGATCAGAAGAACAGAATTCACCTGTAAGACCTGAAAAAAAAATCATGCGATAAGAGAAATCTAAAGATTAACCACTTTTGTCTTTTTTCTTCTGCTTTTGTTGCTATATAGTGTACATACTGTTTCTGATTTTCCTCCCAGGACTTAATGCAGTTATGTTGTATGTACTAAACTAGCCCCACATCCTCATGTTGAAGCTGTGGGCCCCACATCTAAGAATGCCATTTAGGAAGGTTGTTGTTCAGGAAGTAGTTAATTGAAAATGTAGCTATTTGTGTGGGGCCCTAACTAATCCAACCTGTGTCTTATAAAACCAAGAGATCAGGACACAGAGACACACAGACACACACAGGGGTGTGAGGGCACCTGAACAGAAACGCCATGTTTGGGCAAGACACTGAGAGAGGCTCGGAGAACTCAGTCTCCTGGCACTTTGCCTTGTGTCCCCGCAGCCAGTACTGTGAGGTACCACATTTCTGATCTTTTTTGTTTTGTTGTGGTAGTGCTGGGAGGGTAGAATCCTGGACCTTGACCATGCTCTGCAAGTGCCCTACCTCAGAGGCACATCCCTAGTTTTTAAAATGTCTGATATTTAAGGCACACTGGTTGTAGTGTTTCCTATAAAATTCCTAGGAAACTAATACATTCAGTAGCTATTGCCTTGGCTGGAATTATATATTTAATCAGTATGTAAACAGTGGACATCGGAAAAAACATAAATGGGTAACTCATGAGTGGATGATTTCATGTACAGTTTGATAGATCTAGGACTTAATGTACCCAGTTAATTCGGATGTTATTCAGGATTATCAGAGAGTGAACCATAGACTTGTCAAACCAATGCTGATGGCTAATGAAAAAGGCACCTGATCCCCACTCCTGAATGCAGCCCTGCCTCTTTTACGCTTGTTGCAGTATTCCTTGCTTTGCGAATGAGACCATTGGTTTGTAATTACATATTTATTGGTGAGGTTATACAATTAACATCTGCCCCTCTTGTGTAACTCTGTGGGACACAGCCTTCTCCGTGTTTGTTTACCACGACAAGCCCAGTATCCAGCATGGCGCCTGACTCTCAATTACTTGTTCCGTGATTTAAAAAAAAAAAAATCAATCACGTTTGTGAGCTCTGAGATTGTCGAGAGCTAGTACTGCATTGTTTCTCTTAAAAATATTTTTTTAAGTTTCCTGTATATGTTCCTCTGGGGAGGAGGAACCCACAAGCTTAGTTTTTACATGATAGGGCTCTCCGACCTTCCCCAAAACAAGAATCAGTGGTCTAATTCGGTAGTAAAAACAAGATTAAACAATAAAGGACTCATCTGCAGCTTGAAATGGAATATGCTACAAAACCATTTATATGTACAGGTGTGTGTGTGTGTGTGTGTGTGTGTGTGTGTGTGTGTGTGATATCCAAGAACAGAGACTGAAATGCCTCAGTGAATTTGCAGAACCATCCATAGTCCTGTCCCTTTCCCCCACTCTCCCTGAAGAACTGATCATTCCCGTAGTCATTGGATGGAGTAGTGAGTAGCTGCTGGCATTCATCGGTTTCTTGGCAGCATCATTCATCACTGAGGCCAGGGAAAAAGCCTGTAATTCTCTCCATTCACCTGTTTGGACCGCTGCCATCCCTCTTTGTAGGAAGCTCCTTTTAATAACAGACCTGTAAACGTCCCGGGAAACAAGGGCACTGAGCTGTGTTTAGGAAGCATGGATGCCCATGCAATTTGGCCACAGGATCCCAGGGTTCCCCTTCCCTTCCCCAGCAGCCCAAGAGGAGATCCAGCCTAATAAGACTAGAGATGCCTCGCCGCTGCTTGCTGCTGGCGCATTCCGTGAGGAGCTAAGGGAGGCTGCAGACGGATTGCTTCACACTAATTGGCTATTGGTATTAAAAGCTTTCCTCTCCCAGTTCCAGAAGACGTTTCTCCTCAATGTTTCTTCCCACATTTTTGTCCTGAAAATGACTTACACAGTAAATTTGTCAGAGTAAAGGTTTTCAGTGTGCCATTAACTCGTAGTTAGCCACACTAGCTGGGGAGAGCAGTAGTGCAGGTAATTCAAAGCCAAAGGCGCTTTCTGTCTACCTTCCTAATGCATGGGCTCCAAGGAGGATGGTGGCAGCCTTTCCTCCCTAATTACGTTTGTCTTTGTTGCTTATTAAAATGAGTCTGACTGCCTCCAGGCCAGGCAGTTGGGCGATGTGAAAATTCTGACACAGAATTTGTGAATGTCATCAGGGGAAATCCACAAGGCACACAGATAATCAGACTTGACTAGATTTGAGTTCACAGCCTAATCACCTGAGATCAATTACTTTGTCCCTGTGGGACTGAATCTGGGATGAGAAATTATTGTAGCTGGGAGGGAAGGAGTCTTTACATTTAGATGAGGACACAAGACTGTGTTGTGGCCCAAACACACAATCACACAATCATGTTGGTTTTCCTTCCTGGCTTCACGGCCTTGTGTACTGCCGTGATCTTTCTGTGCAAACCTCACAGTGTCCATCTCTACCTAACAGCCATTGGTGGCTCCCTATAGTTGTTATTACGGTGGTTCACAACCAGCCTTACCCTCTCTGAGGCAACATGACCCTGCCCCCTTGAAGCTACTGTGATTGATGCTGGCCCCTGAAACATGCCTGAAAACTGGCCAGTGGGGCAGGAAGGGACATGTCACTTCTCAGAGCCAGCTGTGTTTGGGTTCACACTTTGGCTAACAACTGGCAGCCTCTGAGATGGTGGCTGCTCCCGACTGTTGCTAGTGCCTGTGATGAGCCTACTGTATGCCAGGGAGCGAAGAATGTATGCCAGGAGCAAGAAACTTGACTCTTGCTTTCAGCCACTGAGGTTTTAAAGCCCTTAGTTAACTTAGCATATCTGGCGCTGCACAAACCAAGCTCCACTGTGACTGAGTTTCAGCTCTGCAAGCTGACAGCGAACAGCTAAAAGATGGAAACATTTCTTCTTCAGCGTGCTTAGTCCACTACAAAGTCCACCCCCCTCTTTTTTAAAACATGTTGGTTGGTTGGCTGACTATGAAAATCTCATCCCTATCAGCCCCTACCATCTTCTAGGTGTGTGTGTGTTTTTTTTCCCCTACTCCCAGCTGCAAAGCTGCAGAAGGGTAAAAGCATCTTAGGTTTACGATACATGGGAAATGGCAGAGCTGCTGGACCAACAGAGCCAAGGAGGAAGAGCTCAAAGGAGGATAACTTTGGTGGACACATACTTAGCCCCATGAGTTTGGAATGTAAGAAGGTTTAAGGACAGAAAGGATTTCAAAAGGAAGCCTTGGAACAGTCACACAGATAACATAGTACCCTCAAACCCAGGTTTCTGAGGTAACATGTCATCCAGATTAGACTTCCTCATCTACCACAACATCAGCATTTACTGATGACTTACCACACTCCAAACATAGTTCCAACGGCTTTCCAATTAACTCATGAATTACCTAAGCAACTTTCTAAGATAGTTATGGTTTCTATCTCATAGACGAAGGAGCTAAAACAAGCAGGTAAATTCCCTGTGGCCACATTGAGAGTAAATGATCTTCTCTTACATTATACCTACTTGAACCCTCCCATCACGCATGCTCACTCCCACTGCACCCCACCCCTCCCTGAAAGCCACGTACTTCCAACTCCACAAACCACCATCCTCTGGAAACTTCTGCCTTCTAGACCAACATAAAACAATTCTTCTCCCTTCTCTCCAAATCAGCATTTAAATATTTGAAGGCAGCAATCATGTGTCCCATAGGGCTCTCCTTCTCACTATAAGCAGCCACAAGTCACTCAACACTTCCCAATACACCATAACTTGAGGCCCTTCTCCAACCCTGCTCAGTGACTCATACATGCTATGGACCAAAAAAATGTCAGTGAAGTCAGTGAAGTGGAACTAGTGACTCGCCTGCCTTTTGGTCTTGTGCTGAGCTAATGCCTCCTATACCCTCAAGGACATTCCTTTCATAGCGTGAAGTGGAGTCATGATCTGCTCTAGGAACAGCTGGATGGCCCAGTGTCCTGCACAGGTCCCCACTCTGGCAAAGGGACTGAGAAGTATCTGTATGGTCAGTGTCCCTTGTTCTAACTCATCTGCTCCACCCTCTTCTTCGGCCTGGTCCTTTCTTGTCCTGTCCCAGGGGCACGCTGAGAACGGCCTTTCCACTCACCATGGAGTTCATAGCAAAGTGATTGTGCTGTGTCTGGAGGTCTACTGCATGCTGGTAGCTGACTCCAATCTCCGTGTGGCTCTGAAGAAATAACTCCTTGTTGTGGCTTATCCAGTCAAACATCTAGAGGGGAGAAGGGACAGAGCGGTGAGAAAGGTCATTGGTCAAGCAGGACAAAACAGTCAAAGCTACAGAAAGAATAAAGCCCTCTGGCCGTTTCCCAGGGAGTCAGGGTGGCCACTGTCAGGTGGATAAAACAGTCTTGTTTCACAGGAGAATCCTCTTTTTCTTTTTCTCCTTCTTTTTGTTTGTTTGTTTTTTAAGCATAAGAATCTACAGGAAACTTCTGTGTCTCTACAGAGCCTTGGGGGAAAGAGAAGTTGAGGGAGAGAACTGAGGGGATGGGGAGGTGGTGTTTGTTGTTCAAAGGTAACTACTGTCCCTTTGTAAATCCTTTATCATGCCCCAGGAAGGTTCCACACCTGCTTTGAGGACAGGCACTGAGAGAGAAAGCTGAGAGGCCTAGCTCATTCATTTAGGTAGCCCTGTCTTCCCCAGGCGGCCCACATTCAGAAGGGGACTGTTCAGAACCCCAATTCCAGGAAGGTCCTATCTCTTCAAGATGCCAGCTCTAAGAGAACCCTTTTTCCCAACCATTCAGTCTGTCTTGGAAACAATACAAAATGTTATAAAAATGGGAGGAAGTTTGCTAGAATCGTCTGGGGAACAGCTCTTTAGGTACAGTTTCTCTTCCTTTGACAGTCCCAATGCAAGTGTCACTGATCTTGCATTGCTGCAGTCATCTGCTAAAAGCCAATGGAAAGGAAAGGGTAGAGTGTCAGGGCAGCTGCAGTAAAAGGCCAGAGGACCTGACTGAGCTGGATCTGAGCTCCGTCTTGTTTCTGGACTTCTTGAGGACCTGAGGAGACAACCCTCTCTATTTTTTTTCACCCCAGTTTAAGTTAGGGTTTGTGTAGTTTGCTGCCCAGAGCAGTCAGGTGAGACAGCTAGGAGAGGTGCGAGCAGCAGCCATGAAGAAGACTACTTGTCTTGGGCCAGGTGCTCCATGTTTACATGCTCAGGTGTGTGGGTGTGTGTAGGGGAGTTACAGCCAGTCCCAGGGTGCTGAGAGGACCAGATGAGCCCTGAGACAGGGGCATGAAGGCTGCACCAGCCTTCCTGTGCTAGCTCTTCTCCTTACACAGAAAAGTAAGCTTGCTTTTCCAGGCAAGTTCAACTAGTACGTATGGGGTTCCTGGCAGGTCCAAGGCAACGGAGGGCCAAACAAGCCAAAAATGCGGTTCTTGAAATTAGGTAGCTTTTATAAAGTGTAGAAAGCTGATGCGGACGCAGACTCTGTTTGTTTGTTTTGAGAATGTATTTATTATGAGAATTTCATATATGAGTACAACACATTTTCCTTGTTAACATCCCTCTCTTCCCCTCCTACTACTCCCATGTCTTCCCAACATCTTCTCCAAAATTCCTATCTTCTTCTAGAACTATTATTGTTTCATGCATGTGTGTACATATAGATATATATATATATATGTATATGTATATACATATATACACATACATATATATTTATAACTTCAACCACAACTCTAAAGGCCTGTGAATATGATAGAGGCTAATATGAGACGCTAACAGAGGATAAACAACACTACATTCCCCAGAAAAGAGGAGCCCAGAAGACAGGAACCAGGTAGGTGAAGGCCAGCAGACTGCATGACCCGGCCAAATGAGGGTGGCGATACAGGGTGGAAATTAGGGAACCACGGCATGTCATGCAGCTGGGAAGGCAGGTCACAGAGTGACCATGAAGAGCACGTGCTTTAGGGATGTGGACCACAGACCGGTAGCAAGGCGTGGGGAGGGTCCCGAGTTGTGCTATAAAGTCTGAATGAGCCGTGGCAGCAGCTTGGGATATATACTAGGGAGAGCCAGTCAGGGGGCATACCTAGGGAGGTGGCACACTAACGTAGACCCAGGTGAGGGCCTGGATCAGCACTAGAGTCAGAGAAGAAGGCAGGTCTGAGAACCACTTTGGGCAGGCCCTCCCAAGGATGCATTACCACTTGGAGAGGAGAGGGTGAGAAAGAGCTAGGGAGACCAGCCATGGATGGCATACTGGTCCCTGCAATCCTGAGTACTGCCATGAGTGCTGTTGAAGGATAAGGATAAGAAACCGAGGTTGTGCAGAAATAGCGAGCTATATTTAGAATGTTCTGTATTTGAGAGGTATAGGGAAATTTCAAGCAAGTATGACCTGTGGGCAACTAGATCTGTGTGTCTGGGGGTCTAGAGAGAGACATCAGGGCTGTAACAACTCAGGCCTGAACATGAAGAACATTAGCTTGTAATCTGCAGACCCTCCCACCAGAAGTACTCAAGTAGCAGAGGGTTTATTTCAGATGGAGGGCTCCTAGGCAGGCTGAGTTGCCATCTGTGTTGTGCCGACTGAGTCTATCAGGCTTAGCCAGCCCCACAGTGCAGGCAGCTGACCAGAGTGTCTCCAACCGTTAGTTATCATAAAGAATGAAAGGAGAAGGAAGAAAAGTGCTAGAGCTTAGAGGATTCTGTTTTTGTTTTTGTTTTTAATCCTTAAAATTCTTCCTCCAAACCTCATTTCGAAATAATTTCTCATCCCCTTCCTTATTCACAGAAGAATTAATGAAGTTAATGAATATTTGAAATGGCTGAAGTCCTCGGAACTTGTGAGGACAGCATTCACTCTGTGTCCTTTCTTGGCTATCTCAGCAGCCCAGAAGTGACCTTGTACTTTCTGTTGAATAACTTATTTAGATACATACAAATAGGCAGATGAGGTGGGTGCAGCACCGCAGTGATTACACTGCTGGGCACCAGGTCCCTGCTGGGCTGGAGAGAGAGGAGAGCTGGACACAGGCCAAGCAAGGTGGAGAGCAAAGTGAGGTTAAGAGGCGAGGCGGAGGTTGCTACAGCGGCAGTGTACCCTGTGGAATCAGCCCCTCACAGATTGGTGCTGGCATCCATGCCATCCCCAAGTTCATGTTCTGCTCACAAACGGCTTCCTGGTAGTGAGGTGCCCTGACAGAGTTTTGTTCTGGAGAAACTGCTTCCAAGGAGTAGTAACACATGTCTCAGGAAGTGAGAAACAGCATGTTCTAGGAACTAGATGATGGACTCATGTAAATACATGTTCTGACTCGTAAAAGTTTAAAAAAAATTTTGGTTGGAACACATATATAACTTATTATATAATACATTACATCGTGTATTCTGATATATAATATATTACATATTCTGATTTGCAAGGGATAGTGATTCCTAGAATGGGAAGGGAGCATCCCGGCTTAAATGGTTTTTGAAACCAATAAAAACCATACTTTTTCCATTCAAAAAATAGTTAGTTTCATGGGATCTTCTGAGTTAGAATGTATGTTCATTGCCATTGCTTATATTCCTAGCAATTGACCCAAGGAATATAGTAAGAAAACTGGCCTTGTGTTATAGCCAGAGAAAAGCGGCTCCTTCGTCTCGGCCACCACATTTCTCAGGTAATTTCAAGTTCAAGGTAAAATGTCCAATTGCATGCATTGCATGTGTCTTATTGTGCCCTCAAACACTGTCACATGGGTGCTGCCATCAGGTAACAGAGCAGGCTCAGAAAAGTGAAGCCAAATTCTAGAAATCATTACCCCGCCCTGTGCTACATTTACTGAGTAACTGTTAGCCAGGCTCTGAGAGGCTGCAAACGCCATGATGTCCCAGCCAAGGAAAGGTGCTTGGAGCCGTTTGTTTGCAAATACCCAGGTATCATCTCCCTATGGCTACACCATCGGGAAGGATCACAGATGCCTGGGGATATCTGCTTGAACAGCAGTACGTCTCTCAAAGGAATAAAGGAAGAAGAAGAGCTGGGAAGGGAGGGAGGGAAGAAGGAAGGGAGAAGGAGAGAGAGGAAGGATGGCAGTTGGCCATGGTCTAGGGTTGTTAATGTCTAGAAAAGAAAAACCTTCCTAAATTATTCTAGCCTCAAGCCAGGACCATTTATAATTTGATCCATTTGAATCTGGCTATGTGGAAGACACTTGAGCCAGACTGACCTAAAGATGTTAAGGAGGAAAAAGAAAGTATCTCTGCAGTAGCTTTGGATTTTTTTATATCCCTCACCTCTACTTTTTGAAAAACTACAAATGTTACATTCAACAAAGTATAATATAAATACAACAAAAATCCTCCCAGGAGGAAGGGTCATGCCTAAATAATATAATTACCTCTCTGTCTGAACACTACACAGTTTTCTTTGTCTTATTAAGAAAGATGTTATATGGAAGCTACTTGAGTTTTTGTTTTGTTTTGTTTTAACTAGGCTAAGTAATTTTTTATGCTAGCTAACTTCAGTAAAAATACACAAATCTGGTTCTCCATAAATAGTCAATGTTAAAAAGAATCTATTTAAATGCAAATTAGAAAAATAAACACAAGACTTTCCATTTTTTAAAAGATGGGGGGAGCTAAGAGAGGTTATTATTGTTCTGTTCTGTTTTTAATGAAGCATAACTATTTCATAGAGTAGGGATATTAAGTAAAAATCTGTTTATTTTTCTTCATTTAGCAAAAGCAATTGATGTCATCTTCTAACTTTCAAACCACCTGACTATTGTTAGTGTTGTACACTCTCTAATTATAGATCACGTTACAAAATAAGACACTCTCAGTCTGGATGAGCTGATTAAAAAGACCAAAAAAAAAAATAGCCAGTGGGTTTCCTTTGGCGGGGTATGCATGTCCTAGTACATTCAGGGATGCAGCCTGCATCCCTGCAGTGATTCATCCAGGAAAGCTGCGCCCTGTGAGGTTCGACAGCCTCCGGTGGGTACATCTCTGTAGGTCTGGGAAACAAGCCTCAAGTCAATTTTATTATAAAATAAAATCTTGCACTACAGTACACGGAGCAGAGAGTACAAATTACAGGATGCTGTATGAACTCTGCCAAGTTGCATCATGGGTCTGAACCTCAGCTCTGTGTGTGTGTGTGTGTGTGTGTGTGTGTGTGTGTGTGTGTGTGTGTTTAATCTGTAAAACAGGAATACCAATTTATACTACTTAAATCTTAGGCTACCGGGGACACTCAA